GATTCAGGGGGATCCAGGGGGATCCAGGGATCTGAGGGATCTGGGGGTGGGGGGATCCAGGGATCTGAGGGATCAGGGGGGGGGATCCAGGGATCTGAGGGATCTGGGAGGATGCAGGTGGATCCAGGGGATCTAGGGGGATCCAGGGATCTGAGGGATCTGAGTGGAATGCAGGTGGATCCAGGGGGATCTGGGGGATCCAGGGATCCAGAGGGATCCAGGGGGATCAGGAGGATCCAGGGATCTAGGGGGACCCAGGGCACCCAGGGATCTGGGGGATCCAGGGATCCGGGGATCAGAGGATCCAGGGGGATCAGGGGGATCCAGGCATCTGGGGGGTCCAGGGGGATCCAGGGATCAGGGGGATCCGGGGGATCCAGGGATCAGAGGATCCAGGGGGATCAGGAGGATCCAGGGGGATCTGAGGGGATCCAGGGATCCTGGGGATCCAGGAGGATCCAGGGGGATCTGGGGGATCCAGGGCATCCAGGGATTCAGAGGATCCAGGGGGATCCAGGGGATATGGGGATCCAGGGAATCCAGGGGGATCCGGGGGGATTCAGGGGATCCAGGGGAATCCAGGGGGATCCGGGGCATCCAGGGATCCAGGGGGATCTGAGGGGATCCAGGGATCCTGGGGATCCAGAGGGATCTAGGGGCATCCAGGAATCCAGAGGGATCCAGGGGGATCTGGGGGATCCAGGAGGATCCAGGAGGATCCAGGAGGATCAGGGGGATCCAGGAGGATCCAGGGGGATCTGAGGGGATCCAGGGATCCTGGGGATCCAGAGGGATCCAGGGGCATCCATGGATCTGGGGGAATCCAGGGATCCAGGGGAATCCAGGGGGATCCAGGGAATCCAGGGGAACCCAGGGATCGGGGCATCTGGGAGGATGCAGGGGGACCCAGGGGATCTAGGGGGATCCACAGATCCAGGGGATCCAGGGATCGGGGGATCCAGGAGGATCCAGGAGGATCCAGGGGGATCTGAGGGGATCCAGGGGGATCCAGGGATCCGGGGGGATTCAGGAGGATCCAGGGGGATCCAGGGGGATCCAGGGGGATCCAGGGGTCCGGGCAGGGCTCTCAGTGCCGGCCGTGCCCCCAGACCTCGGTGTTCACGCCCGCCTACGGCTCCGTCACCAACGTGCGCATCAACAGCACCATGACCACGCCGCAGGTGCTCAAACTGCTGCTCAACAAGTTCAAGGTACGGAGGGCGGGTCGTGTTGTGGCTGCAGTAAATAAAACCTTTTTTAAAATTATGTGTATAAAATCTGCATTCTGGTTTCATCTATTTTATTAAAATTTATTTATGTATTAAATTTTCATACATTTTATATGTATTCTTTTAAATTATTATTTCTATTTTGTATTGATATATATAATATTAATGTGTTTACCAATTTATGTTTGTGTTATTTATTTATCTTTCTATTATACACATGTAATTTGCATTCAGATTCCATAGGAATCTTTAAATCTTTATGTTATATATGATCTTGACATTTTATCTATAAAATCTGCATATGAATATGTCTGAATTTTTATGCGATATGCAAATACTTCTATTATACCAAAGTGTTTATATTATATATATAATCCTTTATATGTATAAAATCTGCATTCAGATTACATATATATATTTCATCTGAATGCAGATTTATATATA